TGATAATGGAATCAGAAAGGATCGTAAGGCTCCTCAAGTTCAGTATAAATGTACAAAGCTTTGTTAACGGCCCGATATCGTCAGGCAGCACTGAAAGGTTTGGCATGTCGAGGTTGAGGCTGGTGAGAGACGACAAGCGGGGAAGAGCCGACATACTGCTGTCCTTCATAGAAAGGAGCTTCAGCCGCTGCATCTCCCCAAGAGTCTCCGGCAGGTCTGTCATTCTCGTAACCCCATCAACAACTAGAATTTTGAGCGCCAAAAAATGACCGAAATTCACGGGCAGCGGGAAAGCGGCTCTGCTTTGTCGAATCTCCAGGACCACCAGAGAAGAGAGATGGGGGAGGGACTTGGGCAGGTGAAACTTCCAGCACTCGTGGAAGGAAAGACGATCTAAACCAGCAAGCTTCCCAAAGGATTTTGGAAGTGTCATGAGTAACCAGCATCTTTCCACCTGCAGCGATTTCAGGTGAATCAGCTTGCCAAAATCCCGCGGAAGACTCTCCATGCTGGGAACGTTCAGCACGAGGCTTCTGAGTGACTGTAACGAGGTGACAGTGTCGGGAAGACACTTCACCCTTGCCACGAGGTGCAATTTTATGAGTGAGGTTAAGCCGCTGATGGATGGAGGAATGGCTTTGATACACGGCGGGCAATGCAGGTGAAGATCCTCCAGCCGAGTACAGCCCTCAAATAAGGCAGAGAGACCCTGCTCACTTAAGCCTCCGGTAGTGTTGTGAAACTTTGTCCAGTCAACGTGACGCTGGATCAAGTGGGGACAGCAGTCGACGAGGTGGGAGAGAAGGACATTAGGAGCGGAGATGCTACGAGCGCAGAGAACCAGCTTTTTTAGGTTTACGAACGACGGCAGCTGCTAAAGAAGTCGAAGAGGATCGACACGGAGGTATTCTCGTAGGTGAATCTGGTCCTGCAGCAATATGTGATGTGATGTCATTGCTTGCAGACGAGAGCATGCTCCAGCTGGCCATCGGGTCGAGCGAGGAGATGGAGGATCCTAGTAAGCAGTTTATCAGGTAGCCGTTGGATTGGCGATCCGATTGTCATTGTGAATACGGGGAGATAATATGAAGAAATAAGAAATAATTGGCTGTACTGCCACGTGAATTTCCTGCTTATGTCCGTTTGAACAGAACTCTCTGGTGATGGAGGTGAAGCGACTCCGCCAAACAGACGGAACCGATGGAACCAAGTTAGAAGACCTAGGGTTTTGGTAAGTCCTTCCTTTGCTAAATTCCGAGAACCACTTGGCCACCATCACATCCCCTCAGGGAACTCCGGGAAAGGATTCCCCTGCAAGACATTCGCAAGAGCTGTTACCGTTACGAGACCATCAGCGAACTCTCCAGTGTTCGTTGACAGCGCATGTTAGCCAGTCAGGCGCTTTCATCTCCATCACCAGAGAGTTGGCATGCTAGGGCTGATATCGGCGACCATCCGATGGTATCCAGATGGCTGCGCAGTTGACAAACTAGACACATGAGACTCTGTGGGTCTCCGCGCTGAAACAAAGCCGGGATGTGGTCTGGGGGGGACAATGCCACCAAATTTAAGGAATTTCCATTCCTTACTGAGTCGTACGCTAGCGCGTACACCCGAACTTCTCGACTCGTCACGTTCGGACTCATTTGTCGGCCAAACCCTTTCCCGAGTCTCGTCCGCCACTGTCGCCACATTGCCGAACCTACCCACATTCTGAGGTTATCGCCCTAGCATGCCAACTCCTATATAACCTCGTGCCTTCATTGCAATAGCGACCTTGTATTCTCACGTTATAGTTCATTGACACTTCCTATATCATAACACCGAGCCTGATTGTAACATAAGGCATGCCAACTGTTATGAATGGAACTGCCAAGTAGGGCGGAGGGCAATGGCGAAACTGTGAACGATTGAATGGCAATAAAATGAAAGACAAAACAATATATAGAAAACCTAGGGCGATCCAGGACGTAGGATCGGAAGGTTCGGGAAAAGTGTCGAAACGAGGTCCGGAAAGGCTCAGGAGGCTCGAACCGAAAGGTCTGGAACCCTATCAGTGGTTCGGTTTTGTTCGAGTCGTACGCTCTGGAGCAAGCCTCAGTAAGGAATTTATAATTCCTTACACCACCGAACCTACATGTTATGTGCCTGCGCCAAATTGTATTCAGTGTAATCTAGGATGCTCTTGCTACATGCAAATGGTTGCAAAATGCACAGAGGTAGCAATCCTTCTGACACAAATGGTGTAAGCTAACTTACACCAAGATACCCGCAATCTCCCTTCAACTTCCCACCCATAAGCATCTCATATCTTTCTGCATTTAGATTCACCCCCCTAGCGGCAGCGGGCCGCGCACTGTGTTAGCCGCGTCCAACCCGCCCGCACGCCAGTAAGCGCCGCGCCAGCCATGGGGCCGCACTGAAGATCTGCCCCCCACCCCTTCCCCCTTCCCCTCCTCTGCCTTTCGCCTCCTCCCCGTCGCAGCTGCTGGCGACCTCGTGCCGTCCTCCCCATCGTCGTCGCAGGTTGGGCCACACCTCCAAGTGCTGCGAGCTCTGCCGCCGCCGCCACTGTCGTCGAAGACGCCGCCGCCGCAGCTGGTGCCGCTGGCCTCACCGCCACCGCCGCTGTCGTCGCTGCCACCGTTGCAGCCGCTGCCCTCGATGCCGACGTCGCCACCTCGCTTGCCGTGGGGTCGCCCGGCTGGTCGACGCCACTGCTGCTACAGGGAAAGAGGGTTCAAGGGTGTGGGGGTGCTGCGGGTGGGATGGGCTTGTCACTACCAAGCCTAGGGGGTGTGTCAAAGTATATATTTAAATATGTGTAAGCTTGGTAGTTGTGCTACTTACTGAATCCTACTGTAGAGGGGACAACGCCCCCTTCTTGTATCTCCTTCTCTTCTAGTCAATCTCTCTTATCTCTCGCCAACTTCTCCTCCCTCTCGTAACTCTCGCCCCCCAGCTAAACCTCTCGCCATTTTCATGGCGTCCCACCTAGCTACCTTCTAGCAACCTCACGACCCATTTCGACACTTCCTCCTCGTCTTCATCTTCCTCCCAACTTACCCCGTCGTCATCGCTGCTGTCATCACCATAGTCATAATAAATCATGTTATCATCCTCATAATCCCCTTCTTGCTTGCCCCCCTCACCTACTCCCTCACCCCCTCCCTCATCCTCTCCCTCGTTGACCAAATCTCCCTCTCCCTCCTCCCCGTCCACCATATTTCCCCTCCCAGAAATCGCATGCGTCTCTCGCCATGAAAGCATACGACAATCACGGATCACACATTCACGTAGTGTTGACATTCTCATGAGGGACACGGGTAACCGGGATAGCTGCTTACAGGCTCTCACCTCTAGCACCTCCAGCTGAGGCAGCTGCGCAAAAGACTCAGGCAAGCAGCACATATTTTTCAGTCCAAGAAGCACCAAGGACTGGAGGGACGAATGCTTTCAGAAATCATCTGGAAAGGATGAAACTCCGAGCTTGACAAGAATGCAGGACTAGCTTGAGAAGCTTTAGGAGGGATTATGGAAGTCGCACTATCTTTGGGCAATCGACAATCTCCAGCGTCTCAAGAATTTTCAGCTGCCCCAAGCACTCGGGCAGCTCCTGCAGACTGACGAGGTTAACCACTTTAAGCACTTTAAGCCCTGGGAGCCCTTCGAGTGTCTCCGGCAGTGCTTCCAGCCTCTTGGCACCAGAGATCCGAAGTGATTTCAGCCGTGAGAGCTGGGAAATGGAGTCGGAAAGTGAGGAGAGTTCGTCCAACTCTAGCAGGTCCAGACTGATCAGGAATGAGAGGCGGCCCAGGGATGGACCAAAGGATTCAAACGGAACAGCCTTGATCTTGAGGCTCTGGAGGGATGGAAGCAGTGCATTGCTGGCAATCCTGTTAGGACCCTCGGAGCCGATGCTGCTGCTGCTATCGTCAATTTCTCGTGCGTGTCCGAATGGACACGAAATTTCGGGTTACCAGGTCAAAATTTCGTACCTGATATGCAAAGTGAATAGTATACGAGCGCGTTGGACATGCCCTCACAGAACTAGATTCTAGACAAGACTCGAGTAGTCCATCTGCAGCAGCAGCGCTTACACTTTCGAAACTAGTTCCGGAATTCGCGGACCCCCGGGACCCTACAAAGTGGGGGTGGTTCAGAAACCTCGGTAAGTTGCCCGCCTGGAACTGGAAGTGCCATTGCAAATCGAGCGCGGGTTCCAGAACTGGTTTCCGGAAATCACGACTCAGCCTCCGCGAACGGGCTTGGCGAGCTTGGCGATTCTCGTAACCTGTCGCAGTTCCGGAACTTTCCCAGTTCAGGAACTGCAAGAAACAAGCCCTTATCTCGTCATCACTTCCATCCAAACCGAGAGGGTACCTCACGGCTAAAACGAGCAGAACCGAGTTTACGTGCACCTGAGAGTTCGTTCGCCTTCTTCGCAAAAGTCGCATTCACAATTGCTTAGCTTCGCATGGCAATTCATTTCCCCCACACAGCTCTCAGCGAAGTACCGTTGGTATCCATGCTGTTTCACGGTCGCACGAAATGAGCAGTTCGCCTGTCAAAGGGCCAATGAGGTTCAAGCCACGAGCGCCTCCAGTTTTTTTCTTTTCTCGCCTGCCCCAACACTCAGTTCGTGCAACACCAGCTTGAATGTGAGGCTTTTCGTGACAGACTTTTACTCCTGTGGCCAGGCGACTGCCCTTATGTCTCTGTAACTGAATTTCGCGAAGGCTCCAGAACCAGATTTGCTGACGCTGAACGGGGAGCGAAGGGTCGTGGGTTCAGCGGGAGCTTTCGGAGACGAGGGTCCGGTCCAATTACAGCCTGCGTTACTCGCCGCCATGAATGTCGCAGTCTCAGCAGCCCCGGCCCTAACAACCAGGCAGCGAAGCTCGCGAAACCAGGTGTGCAATTCCCCCACAACAAGACAGCCTGCTTCGCACGGATGAGTGGAGCTCACCAGAACACTTACGCCAAAGTTGCTCTGCGATTATGGCTCACCAGTTTTCCATGGGCTTTGCTTGCTTGAACACACCTGAACACACCTGTGTTTCTCCATGTTGGCTTGCTTGAATTTCTGGACGTAGTCCACGAGTAGTAGTGAAGCACGTAGTTTGGGAACTACTGTTTTGTCTACGAAGTCAGCTTGCAGACGGTCAGCTTAGTTTGGTTTCATACAAGCGACTACTGAAAGCGAGGCTTACGAGTCCTGAGAGGTGGTTCTTTAGCGGTTTTCCTGCTAGCTAGACGGAAGCCGAAGAGGTCGCAGACGTTGCCTCAGAATTACAATACGCTCGCGGAAGCTGGTGTCGCTTACGTTTTAGCAGACCCTCACACGTTGCCGTCATGGTCCGAAGCGGGGGTTCGTTTGGCGATATCGAAGCTGGAGGAGGAGGGGGCTTGAGGTCCACAGCGTATGCATCCGAGCAGAGCAACGAGGAAGCGTTAAGCCAACTGGAGGAGAGGGCTAGGCTTATAAAAGAGGTGAGTGGAAGAAGGCATGCGTTAGAAATGCACGGCGTAGTACGAGCGAGGTGGAAGCGGCAGAAGGAGATTCTTTAAAGGGAAAATAATAGAACATGGAATGACTTCGCTGGAATTGAGCTAGCGTCTGTGACGTAATTACACTAGCATGGCATGATGTACAAGGTTCAGCATGGGAGAGCCGAGAATCTGAAAGCAAGGGGTGAAGATGATCGGAGAACCTTGGTTGGACGATAGTGCGTCGTGGTTTCCGGCGTCAAGCGTTGTGCTCCACTTTCAACGTTTGCGTGTTCTTTTTTCTTACATTCCTGCTTCAAATGGCATCCTCCTGTTTGTTCTCGATTTGTTGTCCTCGTGCCAGTTGACTAAAGACATTCATGGCGAGGTTCAATCACAGAATCGTTTTCTGGATGGCATGGTGAGTTATCAGTAGTTGCTTTACTTACGATGAGTAACTGCTTCAATCGCCCTGGCTTGCGTGTCCTGGCTCTTTGTTTCTGCTGGAAGTTTTGGTTGATTTCTTTAACCTAAACTATCTGCCTGCAGGGTCTGGAGATGGATACTGCTCGAAGAATGCTTGCAGGAACGGTGGATCGTTTTACCAAAGTAAGCTTTCAACTGCGAACTCTTTCGTTTTCCCTTTCCCCAGCCACATACACACCCCCCCATCCTGCTTTCTGGCTTTCCTGTATACTAACTCCTTTTAGGCGTAGAGCCACGTCTATGTTGTGCTCCCCATCTTTTTCTCTCATGATCTGCGACTCCTGTGGTCTGCTCTGCAGGTGTTCAGTTCAAAGCAGAATCGTGGCGTGGCAGCAGTAGTGGTGTCATGCGTAACACTCTTCTTCATCCTCTACTTCTTCACCAAGCAATGACAACCCTGGGTCCAGAATGCATAACTGTACTTACCCCTTCAACCCTAGATTACAGTGTCACTTACCCTTTCTTATTTGGAATGGAACACATAAAACCGCTGTCAGTGTAGTTCTATGTAATGGTCTTACGCAACAAATTGCTTTCAAAGTTTTGCTCGCTGCATAGAAGCTTGGCTTTATGATTTATTATCTGAAACTAGGAGCGTTTGTACTAATGAAATGTGAATGTTTGAGTGTTAGTGTTAGCTACACAGTTTCCGCTTTGGGATCTATGTTCGGCCTCTCTTGCCCCCTTCCTGAATCCTGATCTTCACGGAATTGACACCTTTACCGCACTGAAGACCACTCTGTTGCACAGAACCCCTGTCAAACTGTAACAAACCAAGCTGAAGGGAAAGCGAATTACAAGATTTCGTCCAGTCACGGCATTCCCTAGGCTTGGGTCTGCTGGTCCCACCAACCTGATCAGAAACGCACTCCCTTTTTGCAGGCGGCGTTCCGACCATATTATCTTAGACCTAGATTTCTCCCAAGTTTCAATGCTTACAGATCGCGGTGCCTCTTCGTAATCTGTGGCTGGGTTGCCTCGGTAAATTAGTCTGTTCCGCGTTCCAAGATTTTTCCGGCTGCGCATCGGGAATAAAGTGCTCGATTTGACAGCAAACTCCTCCTCCACTGGTTTCGCTGCCCGATTTGATCTTGCCGCCATGGCCATACCCTTGAAACACGATCTTAGTATTTTTCTCGCCGCCGTACTCGCTATTGCGTGCTGCCAGCAGGGATGCCTAGCGGTCAAATTTGAGGTCACAGCCTACTCGAAATGTTTAGGCGAAGAGATTCAGGAGGGAACCCTCGTTGTAGGAACATATTCTGTCGTGAAGCATGACTCCCATGGAAACCGGCTGGAAGAAACCGGCAGAGTCACAGCCAAGGTACGACCTGTTTCGTATCATATAAGATTACATGGGTTATGGACGATTCCCAAAGGAATCAGGTGGAAAATGATGGCACATTTGTTGCTAGAGTTTGGATTGTCGTTCCGCCTGATCCTTGTTCTGATTCGCCTGGTTCAAGCTGTGCATGTTGCGCTTACAATGTATGGCCCCCGCTTCTTCAGTATAGCCTCTGATTGCTGGCCGTTATTACGTCTGCATGCGAGACGATAACTCGTCGATCTGACATCCGCTGCCTGCCTTTCGTCATCGCGTATCTCGCTCCGCTTGTAATTAGAGTATCACGTTTTTCACATCTGAACTGTAGCTGCAGTCAGCCTCCTTAATCCTCCCTTCCAAGCTGCTGAACCATCACGATGACATGGCAGGTGACGTCACCGTACGGGCATCAGCTGCATTGGCAGGACAATGTGGACGAGGGTCACTTCGGATTCACAACCAAGGAGACGGGTCAATACATGGCGTGCTTCTGGCTGCCCGTGGACCATCCGCAAGACATCCACACTGTTATGGTGAGCCAACGGGAGAATTTAGTAGAGGGCCTACGGGGTAATTCACAACTTTACAGAGGGGCCAGCACATGGCATGCTTCTGGTTGCCCGTGGGCCATGCCATCCGCAGGTTATCCACAGCAGCATCACGGTGAGCCGGTGGGGAAAAGGTGGGATGGGGCTAGCACAACGGGATGAGCTATTGAAAGGCTTGCGCATCACCTGGCCATGACGAATAGGACGTTGTTGCTGCCAATAAGCAAGCTATCCCTAGCCACGTCTTGTCTTCTCCACATCTCACACTGCAGTTCTTTTCATTCCTGATGCACATTGGCTTACTGCATGTCAACCACACGTCCCTTGGTTGCATTCGCCCCTGGTACTCTGTTCCACGTGCATATGAACGTATCTTCCTACCTCTTTCGTTCTGCGCGGTGATTCAGGTGGAGCTTGAGTGGAAGATTGGTGTAGCAGCAAAGGACTGGGGAAAAATCGCCAAGAAGGACAAACTCGATGTAAGGCACTCAGGGTTTTTGTGAAAGTGCTTGCTTTGTGCTTGGTTCCCTTCCCTGTAGTTTGCATTTGACCGTTTTTTTCCCCCTGTACTGCCTGAGCTCACAGTCAGATATTGTGTCTACCATAAGTCTGGTTGACCTCGACAAGGGCTGTGAGAGTGTTGGGATGTGCTTGACTCTACGCTTGGATGCATAGGATTTGGGTTGGTTTAAAATGGCTGGAGATATCACATGCATCGTGTTTTCTCAACCATTCTAAGCTCTGTTGTGTAAATCTCGAGCCTGCTTGGAAATCGCTCACCTTGTTCTCCCGTCTCTCTCGCCCATCACCACCATGGTCCCCTGAAGGGCATCGGCCTGGAGCTGCGCAAATTGGATGAGGCTGTGAGGTCCATTCGAGAGGAAATGGCGTACTTCCGCAAGAGGTGAGTGGACTATGCAGATCATATGCCGAAGGGGTTTTAGGAAAGCAGATACAAGCAAGGAAGCGTTTACACAATGCAGGGCATTGAGCTGCGTTCTGCTCTCATCCTGTCACTGTTTCCCCCCGCCTTGTCCTGCTTGGAACCATGTCCCACCCACCAGAGAAGCGGACATGCGTGATTTGAACGAGGTGACGAATTCGCGGGTCGCTTGGCTCAGCATTGTATCACTGCTGGTGTGTGTTGGCCTGGCTGGCCTGCAGCTGTGGCACCTCAAGGCCTTCTTTGAGCGCAAGAAGCTGCTTTGAGGCAGCTTCAGCTCTAGTGAGAAACTGTTTTGAAATGTCAATAATGAGCGTAGTTATGGTTGGTCCAACTTGTGAACATGGTACAATAGACGTCTTAGGTGCAAGATTGTGGGTATGTTATAACTAGAGGATAACCTTATGTACTAGGAGTCTGATGTCTTGAAGCTCTGCCTATATACCCTAATCGTCATGGAGGGCACTTGCAGACCTGAACCCTGTCCATCTCTTCCCCTAACTGGCAAGCAATCAGCTTCCAGCAAAACACAAGCTGATTGCAGGTCATGGCTCCAGCAAAACTCGTGCATTTCTGAGGCCTTTCAGGATCCGTTGAGTCAACTCCAGTTCACTAGTACGTGCCCTTTCCACCTGTCCTCCTACCCTTTTTCTTCTTTTGTTTCTCCTCTTCCTCCTCTGCATCCCCATTCTCCTCCTCCCCATCCCAGAGCCCTACATCCCCCTCCCCCCCTCCCCCTCCTCCTTCATGCTTCTCAATATACTCGTTTAAGCAGGCCCCAACACGAGCCTTTAAAACGGTAATCGCGTCAGAAAGGCGTACTGATGACTGCGTGTCTGTCTCCCCTCCAATCGCCACATCTGAAGCCGGCCCTGCAGCATCTGCTGGTGCTGGAACCGACGCGTTCTGAACATCTGCAGAAGTTATATGGATAATAACCGGCTCCTCTTTTCTGAGTGACACTGTAGCAGATGCTAATTCGGAAGCCATCACCGGAATCGCGTACGTCTCTCACGCAGCTATCGTCCTTCCGCTTCAGGGTCGACGTCCAGACACCTGCGAAAAGCATCTCACAGGGTTTGGTCGAATCGTAAAAAGGAGGGAGGGAAAGTTCACATTGAGGGGAAGGCCCGAAGGACAAGACCCGGTGTGAAAGAGAGAGTATGAAACCAGTAGGGCATACGCGCCACCGTCTCTATTCCAGCCTTTCTACTGCCGAAAAATCACCTGAGAAAGAAGGGACGGCACGGCAGCGGGGAGCAAGTGGCAGACAGGGCGACGGAGCCAGGTAGCCGATGAAGCTTATTCCATAACGGGACAGAAAGTATCTGGGAAGAATTGGTAGGAAAATCTGAATCGGACTAGAGAGGAAGAGTGAGATATGACAGATGGCTGTCGTGTTTCGACAAACGCGCTGTATGCTTTTTGTTGGGAGGATGTTGGCTGTTCCTATGTCGATTTCCCCATGAGTGCATTTTGCTCCAATAGTAGCACACAATTGTCTCCCAGAACATGACGAAATACAATTAATGTAGGCCCAAATATTGTACAGTAAATTGACCTCTAGGTTCATTGGCACGCCTCATGTCACACCGCCTTTAGGCTTTGCGGTCCTATTCTGGTTCGGGAAGTACCCAAGCCTGATGACTATGTAGGGCGCCATACCGCAAAACGGGCACCAGCAACCTCGTCCTGGTGCCTTCGCGAGAGTCACAGCGCCCGAAGCAAACATGCGCAGCTCTGGATTTCCCAAACCAGTGCAGCCCCCCAACAATCTGGATTCCAGGGATAGTTCGCCAGTAGCAGCCGAAAGAGCTGACTGGCCGATGTGCCCGTTCACGACAGTACGCGGAGTGAGTGATAGTCTCGCAACTTGAACTGTTCGCGTGAAAATTTTCATGGCGAAATCTTTTGTGGAGTTCCCTGAGGGCGTGGCACTTATCTCGAAAAATGCAAAAGTTCGAACGACAACCGTGATGAACCGTAGTAAAACTGACAAAAGCACACGAGAACGTCTATAACTCCTTTGAAAGTTCGAACACCAGGCCTTGTTCGGAAAAAAAAATGTACCACGAGGTGATGGTAGCAGGGAAGTGTGACCTCTGGGGATAGTTCTTGAAATATCTAGTACACCACGTATTCGATTACGTTTTGGGCGGTTTCGTTTTGGGCGGCAACTATTGAGCGTGGGTTTATCATGTGTTGACTGTAATGCTATATTGTCTCTTGCCTGAGAAACCCACGCTTGAGGGAACTTGCTCTCCATGCGACATAACAAACCTGAACCAAACTTGGGGTGATTGTAACAAAAATTAAATTCTATTACATGATTTGTAGTCGAAAAAGTGGGTGTAGCAACATGGCTGCCAAACTAAGACTTTACCAGAAACCCTAGAAGTCGATGTATGGCTTCGTCTCCTGAGACTTGACCTCGAAGTTGGTCTTAGTCGGCAAAATCACCAGACAGCACACGCAGTCAGAGGGAACCATTCAGACAGACCTACGTAGAGGAATGCGCAGTGGGAGAACAACCACATGTCGTTTTCACTATGGCAATCGGATCGCCGATCGAACGGCTGCCTGACGAACTGCTTACTAGGATCATCTATCTCCTCGCTCGACCCGGTGGCCAGCTGGAGCACGCTTTCGTCTGCAAACAATGGCGTCGCATCGCATGTCGCGCGCAAGACCAGGTCCACTTGCGAAAGAACCTCCGCATCGATCCTCTACAACCTCTTCAGCAGCTGTCGTCGTTCGTAAACCTTAAGAAGCTCGTCCTCTGCTACCGCAGCCTCACCACCGTACCTGATGCCCTCCTGTCTTGCCTCGCCGACTCCTGTCCCCGTCTGATCGAGCTTCATGTTGACTCGATGAGGTTTCAACCCAAAAGCGGAGGTATAAGTTAGCAGGGTCTTTCCTCCCTATTTGAGGGCTGTGTTATAATATATTATTATATACAGCATGCATGAGTAGAATAGGAGGTGTAGACATTTAAGTTATTGGGGGGTTGTTGGTTGGGATCACCAACCACAAATTTGGTTGGTCAAGATTGGATTTGGCCTTGGTCCTTTGGTTGGCACTTTCCAACTGAATGGTCCCAAGGCTCCACCAATCAGCAACCACAATACTTTGGGGTTGCTTCCCCTCTAAGCTACCTCTCCCATTGGCCACTCTTGTAGCCAATAGGAGTGCCTTCAGTTCCAACCATTCCTTGCTCCTTGGTTGTACTTTAGAGCCTCTTGGCTCCCTTTCTAATTAACACTTTTCTCTCTAATGTTACTTCTCTCATGGTATTCAGAGCCAATGGCTCACGCCACCCGGTCGATCCTAACTAGCATGGCCTAGCCCTTCCTCCCCTCCTCACTCTCCAGCCCTAACCCGCCCTCAGGCTACCCGGCTGTTCTTTCCGGCATCCGCTTCTCTCCCGCTTCCGCCTCGCGCTCCTCGCACCGCGTGTCTCCTCGCGTGCTCCTTCCGGCGAGCCCCTCCCGTCGCGCTGCTCCCGTAGCACTGTTCCCGTCGCGTGCTCCTCCCGTCGCGCACTGCTCCCGGCGCGCTCCTCCAGTCGCGCGCTCCTCCCGTCGCGCGCTGCTTCTGTCGCTCTGCTTCCGTCGCGCTGTTCCCGTCGCGCTCTTCCAGTCGCGCGCTGCTCCTGTCGCGCGCTGCTCCCGTCGCTCGCTTCTCCCGTCGCGCTGCTCCCGTCGCGCGCTGCTCCTGTAGAGCGCTCCCCCCGTCGTGCGCTGCCCCTGGCGCGCTGCTCCCGTCGCGCTCCTAAAGTCGCGCACTCCTCTCGTCGCGCGCTGCTCCCGTCGTGCACTCCTCCCGTCGCGCTGCCCCCGTCGTGCGCTGCTCCCGTTGCGTTCCTCCGCAGTCTCCCCCGGCCGCGTCGCCCCACGCCGCGTCCGCCCTTGCACTAAGTGCCTACGGCGACTTAAGAGCTGCGCTCCGCGCACTTGTTCCTTTCTCCTCCTCCCTCCTCCTCCTCTTCCTCCCCCTCTCCTTCTCCTCCTCCCTCCTCCTCTTCCCCCCCTCCTCCTCCTCCCTCCTTCCTCCCCCCCCCCCTCCAGCATGGCGTCCTCGGATTCTTCCGTGGATCTTGCCACCGTGGATGCCCTTGAGCTGCTGCCGGACAACAGTGCTGCAAACTGGCATTCCTATGCCCACTCCATCGCCGTCCTCCTCTCCTCCGTGACAGTCAGCGGCTTCAATATCAAAGCTGTTGTTTTCATGGAGGAGCGCGGCCTTCAGCCTGTTGCGCTCGTCGCTCCTGAGGGCCCTGCACCCGACCATCCTGGTGATGCTCCCGAGTCCCTTGGCGATCCGCCCACCTTCGCCCTGGACGTCAGCGACCCGCAGAGCTCGGAGACCGCCATCCGCACGTATCGCAGCAGCCTCACTGAGCACCTCCGCCTGCAGCTGACCTATGAGACTCAGAAGACCAAGTTTGATGTTGCATCCGCCGCCTACACTGCGCACCAGGCGGAGCTCGCTACCTACACCACCCGTCAGCAGCTGTACATCACCAACATCACCGCCTGGCGTGTCGCTGATCGGCGTGCACTCGCCATCCTTCTCGCCACCATCCCCTCCTCCCTCAAGCGGGAGCTTGCTCCCACCTCCTCCTCCCACCTGTGGCAACTCCTCACCGATCTCTATGATCGGCAGGACATTGCCACCCTCTACGCCCTCATTAAGGAGTTCGGGTCCCTGACCATGGATTCCTCCACCGGCGCAGCTGCATTCACTCGTCGTGTGCTGGACCTCGCCCGCCGCCTCGCTGCTCTCGGCGTGCCGTACCCTGATCCCGTGTTGTGCTGCCACCTCCTTGAGGGCTTGACTCTTGCCTTCAACGCCCACAAGCTCGCCTACATGCAGCTTCTCTCCAAGCACGATACCCCAGCTCAGGTCGCTCAGTGGATCATCACCACTGAGGCCGATCTCTTACGCCATTCCTCACCCTCCATCGTAGTCGCTGACCCGCGCAGCAGCAGGGGTGGGCGCGGGGGTGGACGTGGCGGTATTCGCAGTGGAGCTGTGGGTCGTGGTGGTTCTGGGCGTGGTGGCGCAGGCCGTGGTGCAGCAGCGGCCTTCCCTTCCTGTTAGTATCTCCCTCGCTATGGCCCTACTCGGTGTCAGCGCTGCGGCCAGACCACTCATTCCACTCAGACGTGCTTCAAGGCACTCAGTGATGAGTGGTTTGCCCGTGGCAATTCCGGCACTCCTCCTCGCTGGTCCTCCCTCACTCCCCGCCCCACTCCCCAGGAGGTGCATACCAGTCCCCTCTATCAGCCTTATTCCTCCGCCCAGGCTAACCAGGCCATTGCCTCTCCCCTCCTTCAGCAGCCGCAGCAGCAGCAGCCAGGGGTGCAGCAGCAGGGGCAGCATCAGCAGCAGCAAGGGGTGCATCAGCAGCAACAGGGGCAGCAGCATCTTCTCTCTCAGCTGCAGCAGCAGTTTCAGCAGCTCCAGCAGCAGTTTCACCTCCAGTCGCAGCTGCCACTAGCTCCTCCTCCCATGGTATCTCACCAGCAGTACTTCCCCGCTTGGACTGCAGGGAGTGCTGCCTCAGCCGCGCATCTTTCCGGCGCCTCCCCCGCGCCCTCTGCTGCTGGCAGTGTGACCAACCCCTTCCCTTCTTCTGGCTTTGTTGGCATGCTTAGTCAGGCTGCCCCTCCTGCTCCTTCCATGTATTCCGCTGCTATTAACGAGAATGTGTTTTAGTACTCCGTCCCCCCACCTCCTCCCTCGCCTCTACCTCCCTCCACCCTGGAGTTCGTCCTTGACAGTGGAGCCACTGAGACAGTCCTCCGCGACGCTGGTACTCTTAATCTCCTTCCCGCTCCAACTTCCCTCCTTGGTGCTGACACCAGTTTCTCAATCCCCTGCCGGCACACCTCCACCCTCCCCTGTCCCCTCTTCCCCTCAGGTACCGTCACTGGTCTTCACATCCCTTCTCTTCGTACTAACCTCTTTTCCCAAAGATCCCTGCAGCAAGCTGGTATCACTACAGTCTTCCCAGGTCGCGCAAACCATTGCCTCCTGTATCACCCCACTGATCGTATCCTCTCCCGCATTCCCTTTTGCCCTCGCTCACGCCTGTATACCCTCAAGGTCCCCCCCCTCCACTCAGCCCACGCAGTTTCCCGCTCCCTTCCCCCTTTTCACACCCCCCCCCCCTCCCCTCCCACTTACGAACCCAACCATCCCCCCCCTTCCCCTTGATTCTACCTGTTCCTGTCGGTCTCTCTCCCATCCCACCGTCCTCCTCCACCACAGGCTTGGTCATCCAAACTCTGCCACTCTCCGCTCCACCGTCGCCTCAGGTCTCCTTCGAGGTCTCCCTCTCACCCTTTCCCCCCTCCCTCCCTCCCCTGCTCCTCCTTGCTCCATCTGTGTCCAGAGCAAGCTCAAGCAGCTCCCCCATCGGAGTTCCCCCTCCGCTGCCGCTAAGCCGCTTGACCTTGTTCACATGGACCTCTAGGGCCCCAAACCCTCCCCCTCCCGCCAGGGCCATCGCTACATGCTCGTCCTGGTCGATGATCACAGCCGGTATTCCTCCGTCTCCCTCCTCCGCTCAAAGGGCGACACTCCGGCTGCGATCATCGCCTGGCTCGAGCAGGCTAGCACTCACTTTGGCCGCCCTGTCCGCCGCCTTCACTTCGATGGCGGTGGCGAATTCCTTAACCGCCAGGTAGCCTCCTATTGTGAGTCCCATGGCATTCGCCAGACTCACACCCTTCCCCACTCCCCCCAGCAGAATGGCGTGGCTGAGAGTCGTGTTCGGGAGATCACCAAGATTGCTCGGTGTCTCCTCGTTCATGCCTCCTGCCCCCCTTCTCTGTGGGGCTATGCCCTCCTTCACGCCACCCTCCTCACTAACCTCTACCCTCACCCCATCCTCCCCTCCACCACTCCCACCGAGCTCTGGACGTCAGACAAGCCTGATGTCTCCTCCCTTCGTGTGTGGGGCTCCAAGGCGTATGTTCTCATTCACCCCTCGGATCGCCCCCGCGCAGTGGGGAAGCTCGCCTCCCGCACTCTCCCCTGCATTTTCCTTGGTCATAACCCCTCCTCCCCTGACTACCTCTTCCTCCATCCTCCCTCAGGGCGTTTCCTCCACAGTCGGGATGTGGTCTTTGATGAGTCCACACCCTACTATTCCTCCCCTCCCGCCACTGACCCCCTCACTCCCGCTCCTAGGTCCCTTACCTGGTCTGACACGCCCCCCCCCCCTCTTCTCCCTCCCCCTCCCATTCTCCCCCCCGCCCCACCTCCGCCCCCCCCTGCCTCCTCAGCCCTCAGTGCTCCTCCTTTCTCAGGTGACATCTTTGATCCTGACCCTCTCTTCCCACTTGCCTCTCCTGCCCACTCCTCCTCTTCCGCCCCTTCCACCCCTCCCCTCTCCTCCCCCCACCCCCCCCGCCCCTTCCTCCCCTGCCTCGCGCTTGTTCCATCCTCACCCGGTATCCCCACATTAGGTCTCGTAATGCAGTCCTAGGTGCCCCTGCTCCTGTTACCCTATCCTCCTCTACCTTGCCTCCTCTCTCCCCTCTCATGCGCCTCCTTTTCCAGGCTGTCTTGCAACAAAACACCAGTCCCACCCTGACTCCGAGCTCTAGTGTCGCAGTCCCAGCAGCAGCAGCCCCATCTGCAGCCGCAGTTCCTCCTCCCACATCCTCACTTGCAGCGGCAGCAGCAGCACCATCGGCAACAGCAGTCTCTCCTCCCTCATCCTCACCCGCAGCGGCAGCAACAGCAGCATCGGATGCAGCAGCAGTAGCGGCCTCAGCAGCGGCGGCAGCAGATGCAACGGCAGCAGCAGCAGCAGCAGTCGTTCTCCCCTTCATCTTCCACTCCTCCCTTCTTGAGGACTCTCATGAGGAGTTCCTCAACCTCCACCTCCATGATCCCTCCCTCCTTCCCATCTCCCCTGACCTCTCCGGCACACCTGTCTTTGCCTTCGCCTCTGCCCCCGCCATCTTCGTCCTTGGCACGTACGAAGAGGCGATGGCGTGCCCTGACGCCCACCTCTGGCTCGCGGCCATCCTCAAGGAGTTGGAGGCCTTTATTGCCAACTCCTCCTTTGTGGATGTGCCCCCCCCCCCCTCTACCACTAATGTGGTCAAAGGGAAGTGGGTGTTTCGGGTGAAGCAGCTACCTGGCGAGCCGCCGGTCTACAAGGCCCGCTACGTCGCCAAAGGCTTCACCCAGCGCTACGCCGTCGACTTCTTTGACACCTTCTCTCCCACCGCCAAGCCTGCCACTATTCGTGCTGTGCTTGATCTCGCTGCTCGCCTCAACATGGAGATCCACTCCATGAACGTCTCCAATGCCTTCCTCCAGGGCATTCTTCGCGAGCTCATCTTCATGGAGCGTCCTGCAGGCTTCCACCTCCCCTTCCCTCCTGATTCCGTCTGGCAGCTGCGTCGCCCTGTTTACGGCCTCAAGCAGGCTCCTCGGGAGTGGCATGCCAAGCTCGCTGCCACCCTTGCTGAGCTGGGCTTCCGCACCTCCCGCGCCGATCCCAGCCTCTTCCTCCGCTCCTCCCCCTCCCCCTTCTACATCCTCGTCTATGTAGACGATATGATCCTTGTCACTTCCGACTCCGCCGAGCTCGAGCGCGTCAAGCGCGAGCTCGGCAGTCGACTTAAGTGCAAGGACCTAGGTGAGCTGCAGCATTACCTCGGCATGGAGATCACCCGTGACCGCGCAGCTCGCACCATCTCCCTCTCCCAGAGCCACTACCTGCAGCAGGTCCTGGAGCGGTTTGACATGGCCAGTAGCAGCCCTCAGCCCACTCCTCTTCGTGTTGGGCACCACCTCGCTCCTCCCACCTCCCCTTCCTCCTCCCCTCACCCCTATCCTGAGCTCATCGGCTCCCTCATGTACGCCATGGTCTCCACTCGCCCTGACCTGGCATACCCCATCAGCGTCTTGGCCCGCTTTGTTGGTACCGGCAAGCACAATCCCACACACTGGCAGGTGGCCAAACGCGTCCTCCGCTATCTCCGAGGGACCAAGGACTATGTCCTTACCCTTGGTGGCCCCTCCCCTCCCCTCCTCACCGGCTACTCTGACTCTTCTTGGGCCGACTCTCGGCCCGACCGTCGCTCCTCCCAGGGCTATGGCTTTTCTCTCAGCAGCGGCCTCATCAGCTGGCGTTCCACCCGCTCCTCCGCCATCGCTCTCTCCTCCTGCGAAGCGGAGCTGTACGCCACCACCATGGCCGCTCAGGAGGCCCGTTGGCTCTCTTTCCTTCTTGAGGAGCTTGGTGCCCCTCAGCGCTGTCCCACCATCTTGTGCGACAACGCCAGCACCATCCACCTCACGAAGGATGCGATGTTCCAAGCACATAGAGCTTCGCCACTACTTCATTCGCGAGCTCGTTCAGGACGGCCACCTCCAGATGGGCAAGATTGCCTCTGCTGCCAATCTTGCAGATATCTTCACCAAGGCTCTCCCCCTCGCCCCCCACGCCTCCCTCCTCCGCCTCCTTGGCCTCACCCCTCCTGTCACCCCTTCCGCCTCTTGATTCATGGCTTCTAGTCTCATGCATGTTGGGGGGTTGTGTTGTAATATATTATTATATACAGCATGCATGAGTAGAATAGGAGGTGTAGACATTTAAGTTATTGGGGGGTTGTTGGTTGGGATCACCAACCACAAATTTGGTTGGTCAAGATTGGATTTGGCCTTGGTCCTTTGGTTGGCACTTTCCAACCGAATGGTCCCAAGGCTCCACCAATCAGCAACCACCACACTTTGGGGTTGCTTCCCCTCCAAGCTACCTCTCCCATTGGACACTCTTGTAGCCAATAGGAGTGCCTTCCGTTCCAACCATTCCTTGCTCCTTGGTTGTACTTTAGAGCCTCTTGGCTCCCTTTCTAGTTAACACTTTTCTCTCTAATGTTACTTCTCTCAGGCTGTACTCGGTTCGTGGATCTTCACCTGCATTGTCGGCCGAGTCTTAAAGTCATTCCTCGGCGGTTAACTTCTCTCAGGAACCTGCACCTCGTCGCAAGGGTGACGCGTCTCCCCGATACTATCACCTCGTTACAGTCACTCAAGTCCTTCGTGCTGAACGTTCCCAGCCTGGACGGTCTGCCGCGGGATTTCGGCAAGCTGATTCACCTGAAGTCGCTGCAGCTGGAAAGATGCTGGTTCCTCATGACGCTTCCGAAATCCTTCGGGAAACTTGCCAGTTTAGACCATCTTTCCCTCAATCAGTGCTGGAAGCTTCAGCTGCCCAAGTCCTTCACCGAGCTCTCTTCTCTGATGGTCCTGGAGATTCGAAGAAGCAGAGCCGCTTTTCCGCTGTCTGTGAATTTCGGTCATTTCCGGGCGCTTGAAACTCTAGTTTTGGAGGAGGTTACGGGAATGAGAGACCTACTTGAGACTCTCGAGCAGATGCAGCGGTTGAAGCTCCTTTCTGTGAAGGACCGGAGGATGCCATCTCTGCCCAGGTCTCTCTCGCGCCTCTCTTCTCTCACCAGCCTCAACCTCGACGTGCCAAAACTTTCAGCGCTGCCCGACGATATCGGGCAGTTATCAAGGCTTCGGACTTTTATGCTGGATTCGAGGAGCCTGACGAGCCTTCCTGATTCCATTGTTATGGCCACCGCCCTCCAAGAGCTCTCCCTCAATAACCTTTCGAATTTGACATCTCTGCCCAAGGAATTCAGGCATCTGAATGCCTTGAAGAAATTGTTACTCATTCGCCTTCCAGTACTCACCCACCTGCCCGAATCTCTGGGACAACTGACAGACCTCCGGCAGTTCATACTTGTGGAATGTTATCAACTGCAGCAGCTGCCGGATACTCTCTGCTAGCTGTCTTCTCTTGACTGGTTGGGAATCTATGTTTGCTCGAGCCTCACTGCGCTACCAGGTGGCATGGGGAACAGCCTGCCGAGTCTGCGAAAGCTAGAGGTGCACCTCTGCAGGGCGTTTGCCCACCTGCCCCCATCCTTCTCCGGCTTGTCGTCCCTCGAATCCCTCAGCATCCTGCAAGCAGAAACCAACAGAGGCGAGCTGCTGGCTGGCCCTGGCTGCCTGACAAGCCTCGAGGGACTTGGCTGCGTGAGACGCCTCAAGGAGCTCTCTCTCAGTTCCATGCCCCACCTCTCTTCCCTTCCCGCCTCCATCTGCGGCCTTTCCGCGCTCACCAGCCTGGAAGTGGCAAACTGCCCTAAGATAAAACACCTGCCTGAGGAGATCGGACGGCTGGAGTTGCTCGAGAAGGTCAGGATCTCTCAAATGGACGGCCTGAAACGCCTTCCTCGGTCATTGCATGAGTTGCGCCGAGTGCGGGTGCTAGAGGTGCTGGCGTGTTGTGGCCTCACCAGCTTGCTATGGGATGAAGGGCTGGGGAATACCTTGGGTGGCGGCAGCAGCAGCAGCAGCATCAGCAGCAACGTCAACGGTCCTACCATGGGTGTCAGCAGCACACTCCTTCCGTCCCTCCAGAGCCTCAAAATGAAGGAGCTTATGCTCGAATCCTTTCCTCCACCCGTCTACCGTCTGACCTCTCTAACCACACCGAAGCTTGTCAAGATGAACCGACTTCTGTCGCTTCCTGATTCCATTTCCCAGCTCTCACAGCTGCAGGCACTTCAGATCTCTCACTCGGGAAAATTCGAAGCCCTTCCGGAAACACTTGGAAGCCTCTCACGGCTTACCACCCTTCAGTTAATTGGCCTTGAAAGTTTGCAGGAGCTGCCCGAGTCCTTGGGGCAGCTGAAGATGCTCCGGACTCTGGATATTATCGATTGCCCCATGATAATGCGACTTCCAGAGTCCTTCCCAGATCTTCCCAAGCTGCAGTCGTGCTCTCTTGTTAAGCTCGGCATTTCTTCCATTCCTGACGACTTTTGGAAGCTGTCTTCCCTCCTGGAGTTGGCGATAAAGGGATTGGGGAACCTGGGCAGTGTGCCTGAGTCTTTCACTCAGCTGCCTCGGCTGCAGCTGTTGGAGACGAGCTCATGTACAGCGCTGGATCTGATATTCACCTCTCTCAAGAAAATGCCAACGTTGTGGGAATGGTCGATCAGTGCGAGTGATATGCTTTCCGAGCGACAAGCACGGGCGATTGCTCGAAGGGGAGGGGACTCATTGGGTGATGAGGGCGAGGAAGAGGAGGCGGATGACTCGCGTTATGAATATGAAGAGATTGTATATGAGAATGGATGGGAGGAAAGAGACCGGGAGGAGGAATGGGGAGGTTGGGAGGAACGCGAAGAGGATGTGGAGTAGGGGGGGGAGGGTTGGAAGTTATTCGACTAGTTAAACGTAGTTAGGTAGCTAGGTAGGTAGGAGCCATGGAATGGTGTAAGGGTTTAGGCTAGGAGAAAATTTCGAGAGAAAAGAGAGTTTGGAATAGTAGAGGAGATACAAGGGGGGGTAGTCCCCTCTACAGTAGGATTCAATAAGTAGCACAACTATCAACCAAGCCTACAATTATATATAAAAATATATAGTTTAACATACCCCCTAGGCTTGGTAGTGGCAAGTGTCAAACTTATCTTAGTATGTTACTGTAGACTATATAGGTTTGTGCCTTAGAGGGTACAACTCCCTAGCTTATATTACCTTGTACCCTCCTATTCTAATCATTATTCAGTTTTGAGATGGTATCAGCAGTAGGTAGGTCCCGCTCTAGGTCCTAGCCGCCCATTCCCCCTAGTCGCGCCGTTCCTAGCTAGCCGCGCGCCCGTTCCCCCCGGCCCCTAGCGCCCGTTCCTGACGGCCCCTCGCGCCCGTTCACGCCAGCCCCCTAGCGCCCGTTCCTGCTGGCCTCCTCGCGCCCATTCTTGCCGGTCCGCGCGCCCGTTCCAGCCGGCCCCTCGCGCCCGTCCTAGCCGGCCCTCGCATCCGTTCACGCCGGCCCCTAGCGCCCGTTCCTGCCGGCCTCCTCACGCCCGTCCTAGCCGGCCCCTAGCGCCCGTTCCTAGCCGGCCCGCGCGCCCGTCCCAGCCGGCCCCTAGCGCCCATTCCTAGCCAGCCCGCGCGTCCGCCCCAGCCGGCCCCTAGCGCCCGTTCCTAGCCGGCTCGCGCGCTCGTCCCAGCCGGCCCCTAGCGCCCGTTCCTAGCCGGCCCGCGCGCCTGTCCCAGCCGGCCCCTAGCGCCCGTCCTAGCCGGCCCCTCGCCCCCTAGCGCCCGTTCCAGCCGGCCCCTTGCGCCCGTCCTAGCCGGCCCCTCACCCCCTAGCGCCCGTTCCAGCCGGCCCTCGCGCCCGCTCTAGCCGGCCCCTCGCACCCGCTCCTCGCTGGACCCACGCGCCCATTCCAGCTGGCCCCAGCGTGCCCGTTCCTAGCCGCCCTAGCGCCCGTTCCTCGCTGGCCTCCGCGCCCTTTCCTAGCCGGCCTCCGCGCCCGTCCTAGTCGGCTCCGCGCCCGTTCCTAGCCGGCCCCTCGACTCGTTCCTTGCTGGCCCCCGTGCCCGTTCCTTGCCGGCCCTCGCGCCCATTCCTGATCGACCCTGCGCCCGCTCCTCGTCAGCTCCCCGCCCATTCCTCGTCATTCGGCCCGCCGCCGGCCTCCAACACGCACTGCACCGTACAGCACCGCTCTGCCCTGCATCGCACGGCTCTGCACCGCACAGCACCGCACTGCATCGCACAGCATCGTTCTGCACCGCACTGCACCATTGTGCACTACACAGCACTGCTCCGCACCGCACTGCACAGCCCTGCACCGCTGCTGCATCGCTCCTGATGGCGGACTCCGTGCTCCGCTTCGACGAAGAGGGTCAGCCGCTCGAGTTTGACACGTGGCTGGTCGACCTCCGTCGTCATCTCGCTGGTCAGCGGCAGGACGGCCACTCCCTGGCAGTCCACCTTGACGGTACGCTCCCCTGCCCTGACCCCCATACTCCCCTGTGGGCTGACCCCTCGTCTGCTGACCGTGAGTCCGCCGCAGCTGCTGCCCTTGCCCGCTCAATCTGGCTGTCGCGTGACGCCGTCACGCAGCTTGCGATCAGTCATGCCCTCCCCCTGTCTGAGCGCCCCCGCTTTAGGTCGGTCACGACTGCGCAGGAATTCCTAGATGCCGTTGTCAAGCGTTATTCCACCCCCCCCGCTGCCTCTGTAGGTCGCCTGATCCTACCGATGCTCTTCCCTGACCTTGCGTCTTTCCCTACTGTCGCTGACCTCGCTGTTCATCTGCGCACGATAGACGCGACCTGGCGCGCTGCCTGCACTGAGACCCAGCTTAGAGCCTTTCAGCCGCCCCTCTGCTCTACCCTCTACCTACTTGCCACCAACCGCAGCAGTCGCAAAAGCAGAGGCGGGCAGGTGGTCTCTCGCCCGGGTGGCCTGGCGCTGGTGGTGGCGCTGGACGTGGTGGTCGTGCACGTGGTGGTCTGCCGGGTGGCGGTTCGGGTGATGCGCGCTATCAGTACCAGCTCTAGACCGGTTCTCACCGTGGTTTCATTTGCGGTAAGATCGATCACACCCCCGACCGCTGTTTCCGTCGCCTGGATGACCTGTTTTGTCAGCGCTTCGGCCCGTCGCCTGACCTCCCCGACTGGCACAGCTTGCTTCGCTGTAGTGTTCAGATCTTTGATGTGGACATGGATGAGATTGTTGCTACCCTGCATCTGATGTATGCTGATGACTCTAGTGTGACTCCTTCTTATTACCCCTTGTTGCCGAGTGTAGGCGTGTCTAGTCGTGCCTCCCCTGCTGCGTCAGGCGTAGGACCCCCTGCTTTGTTTAGCCTTGGTTCTTCTGTCGCTGCTCCGACTCCGGACGCCACTGCTGCGCTCTCCTTCACCTTGGACTCTGGCGCTTCCCGGTGTTTCTTTCGTGACTCCATTACGCTGACGCCGCTTCCTCCTCCTGTTGCAGTTTCTCTTGCTGACCCCTCCTCCGGCCCGGTAGTCGCCCGCAGTTCCACCACCCTTCCCTGTCCGGCGGCTCCTTCGGGTTCTCTTACAGGCTTGCACATCCCCTCGTTCTCCAGGAACCGAGTTGGTGTCGGCTGCCTCCAGGACCTTGGCGTCACCACTACGTTCCCTGGTCACGAGCGGTACACTGTCTGTACCGAGGCCGCCACTGGTGTCCCCCTCACCACGTTCCTCCGGGACCCAGTGTCCGGACTGTTCACACTAGACACCGCGACCCCCCCGGTTGGGACGTCTCCCCAGGTGGCTGCGTCTACCCAGGTTGCTGCTGCCTGCTCCTGTCGGTCGCTCACTCACTCGACACTCCTGTGGCACCACCGCCTAGGTCACCCTGCACTCCCGCGTCTGCGTCACATGTCACAGCACGGTCTCGTCCTAGGTCTCCCAGGGTCGTTCCCCGAATTGCCCTCCTTCCCAGCACCAACGTGCACACCCTGTGTTAAGGGTCGGCTCCGCCGTGCTCCTCACTCCTCCTCGTTCCCCCCTACCGCCGCACCGCTACAGACTCTAGACATGGACATCAAGGACCCCGCCCCCGTCCATGGGCCACGTTGAGAGTGCTACTTCCTAGTGCTTGTCGACGACTACACGTGCTACAGCACGGTGTTTCCCCTGGAGCAGAAGGCCGACGTGCCTGACGTTCTCATCCCGTGGATTGTCTCTGCGCGTATCCACTGCGGCCTCCCTGTCTTGAGTCTCCACTCCGACCGTGGCGGCGAGTTTGCCTCCAGCGTTCTTGGTCGTTTCTGTCGAGCGGAGGGCATTTCCCAGACGTTCACCTTGCCGGACTCCCTGCAGCAGAATGGGGTCGCTGAGCGACACATCGGTTTGGTCATGGAGGTGGCTCGTACCTCCATGATTCATGCCGGTGCCCCCCATTTTCTGTGGCCCTTCGCCGTTCGCTACGCCGCTCACCAGCTTAACCTGTGGCCGCACCCCCAGCCGCCGCAGGTTTCGCCGACCCTTCTTTGGTCCGAATCTCCTGGTGCCGTGTCTGCATTCCACGTCTGGGGCTGCCTTGCTCACGTTCGTGCCTCTGGCATGGACAAGCTCACTGCCCGCACCCTCCTCTGTGTCTTCATCGGTTTCCCCCTTGATTCGCCCGACTGGCACTTCTACCACCCGTCCTCTCACCGGTTCTTTCACTCCCGCGACGTCACCTTTGACGAGTTCGTCTCCTTCTACCGCCGCTTCCCCCACCGAGGTCCCCCGGTTACTCCCCCCCTGTTCGTGGTCATCCCTTCCCCGGTGGCCCCTGCCCCTCCCCCTCCCCCTCCACGTCCTGCACCGTCTGGTATGTCTCACGTCACCCCCTTCACGTCGGTTGTCCCGGTCGAGGAGTCTGCTGACTCTGGTGGCCCTGCGGCGCAGTCCTCACCGCCTGCCCCTACCCAGGTGTCTCCTCCTCCGCTGCCTCCGCAGCCGCCGTCGCCGCTGCTGTCACAGCCGCCGTCACCGCTGCCGCAGCCGTCGTTGCAGCCGCCGCCGCCGCAACCGTCGCCGCAGCCGTCGCAAAAGCAGTTCGTTGACTCTAGGGGTGCTGGCGTTGGGGTGGGTACTAGTCATGGGGTTCCTGTCGTGGCTTGTCCCGGCGGGCCTGGGGGTGGTACCGGTGCTTGAGGGGTTTCGGGCTCTGGGGGTGTTCCTTCTGCGGGTGCTGGAGTGGAGTGTTCCGGAGGTAGCCGTGGAGCAGCTTGCGGTCCCGGAGTCGGTGCCGTGCCGCCGCAGAAGCAGTCAGCGTCGGTGTCTGCCCTTCGCCTGCTTGGCCTTACGTCCCTTGACCCCGCGTCTGTGCCTCTCCTGCCGTCTCCTCCTCTCTCAGTCTACGGCCCTGTGTTCCCTCCCCGGGACTCGACTCTGGCTGGTCTTCCCCCTCATTCCCCTCTTGTGTCCCCTCCTCTGTCTCTTGATCCGACTCCTCCGTCTCACGTCTGATCTCGCCGTCCCTCCCGTGCTCGCCCCGTCTCCCCTATCCCGAGCTCTCACCCTATGTTGCTTCGTTCCCACGTGTGTCGTCCTCCCCTCCTACCATTGCCTCCTCCGTCCTCCCTTGTTGTTGCGCCTCCCCTTCTGTCTGACTACCTTCGTGCCACTCATCCTCTTGTTCCTTGGGTCCTTGCCTCTCTCGTTACTGACCCGTCTGTCCCGGTCTCGTATCTCGACGCTCTTGTCGCTGCGGTCGCTGAGTTCGTCTCTACCCGCCGCCTTGACTATGCCACCGCTCTGGTATCTAACCTTGCCTGTCCTCCGTCTGTCGGGGGTGCTCCTGCCCTTGGCAGTGACGTCCTGGAGGACCGCCAGTACGAGCTTGCTTTCCTGTCCGAAGCTGCTCCCCATCTCTGTTCCATGCTGTTAGACCCTGAGGGTGACCCAGACGCTTTCGACATCCCGACCCCTCGCACTTACGCTGAGGCGACCTTGGGACCTTGGGCCTCTCAGTGGATAGCTGCCATGGAGCAGGAGATTGCATCTTGGAGATCCACCAGCACCTACGTCGACGCAGTTCCCCCACCTGGGGTGAACGTAGTTGATGGCCGCTGGC